ATAAATATAAATAAAGGGTGATCCATTTCGAGGTTTCCTTTTTTTTTTGTAGGAAAACCCACAGAAACTTGAAATTTGTGGTGGAATATTGATTATCATTCGAAGGAACATTCTTTGGCATTTATTCTTTGAAGACTATCTCTTTCAAATGTTAACCGAGGCTACGTCTCAGATGGTCCCTGCGTTGAAACCCATTTGTAAAGATTTGTTCGAGCATTTTGACTGGTAAATAAGGAATGACAAGCGTAATATTTTGCTCCAAGGCCTGATTGGAAGCGGGATTGTCCGCACAGACTTCATCGTCTTGTTGAAATGTCGCCGCGATCACAAGCTTCAATTTCAGCTATCAAATAGTCGGTTATCATGGCACGATAACGGTCGCCATTAACGGTTTATTTATCATCGGCATTATTTTTGAAGAAATATGGACCGATAATACCACAGGCCCACAAACCACAACATACCTTTTTTTTACTGGATGAAATGACAGCTCTTGGATCTCTTCAGGATGCCCTTCGTCCCAAATCCGGCAATGTGATATATATCTACTGAGTCACAAATGGGCCTTATTGCTGAACAAAATTTGGATCGAAGGTCGAGCGGCTTCAGTCTTTCACAAGCTGTATTTTGTACGCTTTCAATTTAAGGTTTCGGCTTAAAATGCGCCAAGTCATTTTATATGTAATTTATATGACTAGAATATGCGAAGAAAACTATAGATTATAGGTCTACATCGCAATTTTTCAAAGTTTCCAATGCAGTAGTTGATAATTTGCTGTCATTTGATTTTTGCTGCTGCCCCCACTGACACTGCCAATGACCAAGCGTACCTTTGAGCTTCCAACATTGTAAGACCTTGTCATTATCCAAAAGGTCTTTGAATCTATCTCTCAAGCAGTCAATGAGATTTTCCATTACTTTGGATTACAAAGCACACAATTTTTCCGGAAGCAGCAAGCTCAGTTGAAATTCGTCCAATATTTCTCTAGAAAAGCGCGTGTTCAAATCTTCGCCGAATGTATCCAATAGAGGAATATAGTCTGAGACCCTGTAGTATTCCTCGCAAGTTCCCACGCAAAAATAATCTAGATTTATCTTCGTCAACTTCCAGTTCTGCCGCCTTTTTTCGTATCTGAATAAGTGGATCGAAAATGTTTCTCAGCTTTTTGCCTTCGGAACGTTACAACCATCGTGTCTATTATGTTTGATGGCTTTACTAGGTCGATCGAGTAAGAGAGAGTTGGGTAAAAAATCCCAATTATAAATTCAAATTTGCACATGGCTGCGATGAGTATCATTGCTTCTCCCGCTGTTTCCTTATTTTTCCAGTTTTTAATTTTTGTCAAAGCTTTGAAGATCAACGACAATTTTGTAGTAAATTGGGTAACTGCGTCGTGCCGTGGGACCCATCCTGTTTCACATAACTGGTTAAGTTATTCGCTAAGTATTTTTCCTAATGCGAAAGACCGCTTGGGATACGTCTTCTAAATTATAAAATTATTACACAAAATTTGTTCACCTTTCTTATGGTATTGCGTACCATCTCGATTAATCGTATCTTAGCAGATTTGTGTATGAAGCGTCGTGAATAAATAAAAAAAAAACGAATCCAAGCCAATTTTTACTACAACTTCTAGAAAAAAGTTGATGCGCTATGAAACCATTTTTTAAATAAATTGAATTATAAATAAATTATAAAAACTTTACTCTTGCCGGTTCAACGTAACACCACTTTTCATAAGTTTATGGGCGAAGGAAAAACGATATAATAGAAACTACTCCTAACGAAAAAGAAATTTGAGTTTTGGTTATAAAATGGTTATATATTTCTTGTAAAATGGTTATGAAATGGTTATGTTTGAGAGCAGAAGCTGAAAATTTCTATGCCATACGTTGTAATAAATAGTAAACAATAAAAGACTCAATTAAATTTTTTTTGATGATATGCTTTACAGTTTTAGGTGACGATATGTAGGAGTTTATTTATAATGAATTCTTTGTTAAAGAACTACATGTCCAATGCCTAAACAGAAAATTTTACAAATCTCACGTTTATTTCATTTCATTTCATTTCACACATACATCTGCACAGTACTGAGGAGTATATGATTTGTGTGCGGCCCTAGCACAGCCACAGTCGCAGCACCAGCTCAATGAAACGGCATCATCAACCCTCAACACACGCACGCAGCGACTACGTTTGAAGATGCTCAACAAAAGCTCGAACGTATGAGGAACCGGAAAGACTTTCCCCAGTGCCATTTTCTCAAACTATCCAATGCTTGCTTTACACACAACATTTGCTGAATCTATACTATTTACATGTACTGTATACATACATATATTTAGGCAAAGCATTGATATGCGGCTGCAACCGCAGGCTTTATGTACCTTAATATTTTTTAATAACTATAAGGATATAGAAATATTATATTATGTAATATATGTATGTATAACGGAATGCAGCATTCACTCGTACATACGCCTATGTATGCATATATGAGTGCATAAAAACGAAATCAATTTGCCATTTGAAAACTATATGTACTGTAATTATTTACAAATATTACATAATAAATCAAAGAAATATATATTGAATGTCCTAAGCCTAAACAAATCACATATTTATAAATTTAAAATTTAGAAAATCACTAAAATTTCACATATGCTATAGTATATATATATAGTATATGTAAGGGATTCAGTTTGAAAGTGATTTATATATTATATATGGCTCTATTTATTATCTTCGTCAACAGTGTTCTTTTTTCTATGAGACAGTTCAGAAAATTCACCTGGTCTGTCTTCATGTAGCACGGAGAAAAGTCCACCTGATTGTAGAATTTCTGTCGTTCAATAAGATTTAGGGCATACTATATATGTAAGGAGAGACATAATATAAATTTAAGCAAATAAATATGTATGCATGTATGATATTTATTTTTAGATTCTGAAAATTTTATTGTAAATAAAGTAAAAAAAGAACGGTTTACTTCGGCTGCACCGAAGAGCTAATGCTCCTTAATAGTGCATTTCTTGAAGCAACTCTTGTATAGCTAAATCAGAAAACTTATATACTATAGTGATGCGATCTAAAGAATATGTTCAAGGATTGTAGCGTTATCTCAGAAAATAATTTATGTTAAATTTTAATAAGATATCTTGTCAAATAAAAAAGTTGTCCATAAAAGCACATGAAATTGATCAATCAGTTATATATGACAGCAATATGCTATAGTGATCCGATAACGGTGCTTTCGAAAAATGAAATTTGAAAGAAAAATGGTGAATTCTCAAACCGAACTTTCAAAAATTTTGGGACTGGCGTGTTCGATTCGTACTGTCTAACGCTAGACCAGCAGTTCAAACAGACTGTAAGCACTTACGACGTACACTTGCGCCCTCTAAAGGCGGTGTAACTGTGCACAAATGCAAGAGCTTTAAGGATACTTACTTCGTTGTTCTCACATACTTCCTTTCCAGATATTTTTGCCTCATAAGTTTGTATGGCTACAGTAAATGCACGAAATGCTTGTGCTTCTTTTCTAAACAAGTCGCGCATATAAGGCATATGCCAATATCTTAGGCATTCATCATGCAAGTATTTAGACTGCATTGGGCTATAATACCCGGTAAGAGTATCATCAACCAGATCAAAATCACACGTAAAAAATGGTGGTGTTTCATTAATAAGCACTGCACTCTAAGAAAAAATCATTTATTCAATGAGTTATAGGTATATCGGCTGGTACAACTATTCATTCGCTTACCCGCACGACAAATAAAAGCATTACAAGTAAGCAAATATTCATCCTCAAAGACAACAAATAAAATTAAAATAATTTTTTTTTTTGTGTTTTATGAAACAAGAATTGAGAATGTAAATGAATTAAAGAAAAAAAAGATTAAGACATGAAACGTTTCTAAACTGAAAAACGAAAATAATTGCAGGAAATGATAAAAAAATAAAATAAAGTATTACTCGCACATTTGACACACCCAATCACATTAAGGAGGCGCACTTGTGGTTTGAAAATTTTTAAAATATGGGCATGGATCCGCGCAATAATAAGTTATAAACAATATAAGCTGAAGACTAAAGAAAAGAGGTATTACTCAAAAACTCTACCAAAAGATGTGGCAACTAACAGAAGGTTTCAAGACCGAATCTTACTCCTCTAGAACCCCCAGAGTTGATCTACTTAGGTACTGATGCCCAGAGCATACTAAAATTATGGCAAGAACATTTCTGCAGCCTGCTGAATTGCAGTGAAACGCCAGGAGAAGGCGGAGTCGATTCTCCAAACGATGACGCTGGCGCAGACGTTCCGTTGCCAGATTATGAAGAAGTTCGTATAGCCATTACCCGTCTGAGGAAAAACAAAGCTGCGGGGACCGTTGGATTGGACTGAGTAGGCAACTAAGGCAACATAAAGTCCTCTCACGACGAATAAAAAGAAAATTATGCAATAACCAACTGCTCATGGTACCAGGGAATATATATATTTCTACCAAGTTTCATTAATATATCATCTTATTGGTATCAATTAATTTCTCAGAAAACAATTATTAATCTGGCAACTCACGAATAATTTTTTGTATTGTTTTTATAATTTCCTGCAATTATTTTCGTTTCTCCGTTTAAAAGCGGAAACAAAGCCAACTTCATTCGTGTCTTAATAATTTCTTCAGTTTCAATTCTTGATAATAATTTAAATTTCATTTATTTGTTGTCTTTGAGAATGAACATTTTTCCAGTCGTACTGATTTTATTTGTCGTGCGGGTAAGCGAATAAACACAAATAAACACACTTATATGATTTTTTCTTAGTTTCTTGCAGTGCTCAGCGATGATACACGATTATATACGTGTGATTTTGATCTTGTTAGCACAGACGGTAAAGGATATAGTAGCCCATTGACGCCTGAATTCTTGAGCACAAAATGTGCTGCTATCTACGACAAAAGGTTTACAGATAAGCATACCTACAATATGTATCTAGAAGAAGCGAAAGCATTTAAGGAATTTCTAATGGCGATTGAAAGTTATGAGGCGAGAAAATCCGGAAAGGAACTGTGTGCGAACAAAGAAGTGAGTGTGTTTGGAGTTGCTATTTACTTATGGGCAATTACACCTGCTTTGGAGAAGGCAAGTGTAGGTCGCAGGAGCTTTCAGTCTGTTTGAACTGCTGGTTTAGCGTTAGACAGTACGAATCGAATATGTTTCTCAGTCCGTCGTCGTTTTACGTGCGCGATTTAGTTCCACAGTTGTTGAAAGTTTGGTTTGAAATTGCACACCACATTTTTGGTTTGTATGGGGAGACGCTAAATCCAATTTTCTAGCATAAATCAGCCAATACTGCTGCAATTTCGCATTCCTTATTCGCTTGCTTGCTGGCATAGACGATAGACTGGACGTAGTCTCACAGGAAATAGTCTAACGGCATCAAATCGCACGAACAAGACGGCCAATTTACTGGGCTATTTCGTGAGATAACACGTACATCAAACTTGGTTTTCAATAAATCGATTATGACATTCCTGTTGGGACCACAATTGTCCAAGTCCATTTCAACCAATTCGGTCCAAAAATATACGGTTAACAAGGCGATTACCATTCACAGCAACGTGCTGGCCTTGGAAGTAACGACGCTGGCTCATAAACCACACCAAACCGTAATTTTTTCGAGATGCAATGGTGACTCATGGAGTCCATGTGGATTGCTGCTTGACCAATAACGCATATTTCGCTTAGTGACGAAGTGGTGCTCAGCCCAATTCGCAAACATACGACGATTTTGGTGGTAAAGCAGCTTAAGTTATTACAGTAGTTTGATATTGTAAGGGGGTAGGCCAAACCTTTTTTTTTTTTTGCCCTACACTATTCGCTAAATTGTTCATCTGACAGGACGATTATGACGACCATAAATTGGACGTAACGCTCTTAAAGTTGAGGTCACTGATTAGAAAATTTGCTAGTAAATTTTAATAACGTCGACTCTTTTTGGATCGTATATCTTTCCATAATGAAATTCCAAACCGTAATGTCGAGAAAAGTCAAAAAAGTCTATTTTAGAAGCGTCCCTACTGAAAACCCCGTTATATCACGTACTACCCATACAAACATTACTATTTATATGCTTAAATTCATATTGTGCCGTTCTTTATGCATGTAGTATGCGCTCGATATCGGGGAACGACAGTTTTTCTACAAGCAAGTGAATTTGTGTGACTGCTACAAGAAGAATAATCAGGAAACTTTTCTGAAGTGCCTCACAGAAAAACGACGTGAACTGGCGAGTTTAATAAATAATTCCGACTACTACTAAATTGGTTCGTATTTAAAAAGCTATGTATGTGAAATTTTTAGTGAATGGTGTTTACAATATTTTTTAAATAAACTGTACGATTATACAAAATATAACATTTGAAGAGCGTTTCAGTGCACACACAAGCAAGCTCATGGATTTAGTTTGTTTGTGGTGTTACATATGGATACTCAAGCCAATATTTCTTTACGGTGCTTTACTATGGAGGACTGCTACCGCGGATGCCGCATGTAGGAGCCCATTGAAACGAATACTGCGGGAGCACTAAGAACCACTCCAATGGCTGCAGTTAAAAGGTTACTCCATCTGCCTACAATTGACTTTGCAATGGCAAGCTCGGCAGCGAAATCAGCTGTATGATTGGCGGCATTAGATGAATTTTCTACAAGAACCTTCGGGCCGAGCTCGTTAAATAGGAGATCGTTAGATAAAATAGACCACATACCTACATGTTATGTCTTGGAAAAAAATTTACAACTCACACAAAAAGAGTGCGCAGGCAACCCACCAGTGAACTTTCAACATCTACACTGACGGATCAAAAGTGGACGTCGGTAGTTGCCGGGATACTGCACTATCTTTCGGGCAGAAGCCTTTGCGGCTCGAAAACCTACGCAGGAAACAAAATAAACAAGTCCAATATATAGGTCGACGGCATTCAAATAATAATCTCACGTCGCATTGCGTTAGAAAGGAAGACAGTAGATATAGTGGAAAGTCGCCTGCATATATACCGGGGGAAATGAAATAGCTGTCTTACCTATCTTCCGAACAAATACAAGAAATACGCAAAACGCTAAAAAAGATACAAAATTAAATTTACAAAAACGCTGACGGACGGATCAGAGTTAGATGAAATGCCTTAAGGGCGTGCAGAATCGCCGTGATCATAAGCAAGGCATGGAGAGAAAATGAGCGTGCTCTTACCCACTTGGTCTCGAAGAGATGTTGGCCTAGTCAGAGGTCACAACTTACTGGCATCTCATGCAGGGATTATTAGCGATAACACACATGTGCTCGTATAAACTACAAAGAAGTAGACATGAGAGGGCACTGGAATACCTCTTCTGCTTCGGTACGGCCTTGTCTATAATCGCTTACCGACTAAGATATCTAGGAGCTGCGCAGTTCAAGGGACTGTATGAGGTATCAGAATTAGATATCAAATATTAAATCTAGCGAAAAGCGTTGATGTACTACACAACATAAGAGCTAAGTATTAAACAACCTCACCTTATCTGTAGGCTGTCCGTAGCTATAATACCCATTATAGGTTAAAATCTTCCCTACAAGAACTTGTTTTTAAACTCTTAGTTAGTATGAAAGCTAGATATTGGTACGATATCGGCATTTTTCACAAATAAGAAGCTCTAGCTTTTTGAGTAAAGTACATGAGGAGTAATTCAAATGCTAGCCTTTGGGCAAGAACTCGTGATGGTCCTTGCTTTGTTTAACAAAACCTTCACATTGGACCCAACTTGGCGCACTTATATCGATATTGTCTCAGACGGCAGATTTCATTCGGATGATTGAGCTTCGGTTTCCACGTCCACAAGCAATCTCTGGAGGAGATTTGGATCGTCGCGGAAGAAGTACAACATTTCCTAAGTAATGTTAAGGCGAAGCTGCTTTTGTTCGAAAGTATGCAATTTTGCAAAAAATTTAAAGCAAAACCGCTGTCAAAAATTAGTAAACCATTCAAAATGGCTGACCTTGTTAATATTAGAAAAGGATATGAGTAGCAACTTAAGCCAAAAAAGCTGTAGTGTTCCACCAGAATAATACGAGTCTTCATAGAAGTTTGATTACTCGCGAAAAGCTATTACAGCTTGAAGGGGATTTGCTATTACACCAACCATACTCTTCAGACTTGGCACCATCGGCTTACTACTTGTTACGATCTCCGTAAAATTTCTTGGTTGGGAAAAACTTTACCTCATATCGGTACGACAAAAACCACTTCAGCGAGTTTTTTCCCGTCCTGTCCCAAATATGGGAAAAAAAAATTTAATATAGGATTTCATAAAATGTTTTATATAAAAAAAATGGATTTTAATTGCAGTAAAAACGAAATTACTTAGTGAACGACGCCATAAGCTTCTTTTGAGCTAGTTATGCAAGTTTTTAGAAATGCCTGAACCATCGAATGTGATATATTTTATATAGTACTTCTATTCAGAATTATTTTAGTAAAGAAAAAAGTCAATAAAAGGTCCGTACTCTTCAAAATTTAATGTTCTTTAATAATCGGTGAATCGTTTTGAAAAGTGGAAACAATATTGGCTGAAAATGACACTTTCAGCCGAAACCAAATGGCCAAAATTCAGACCGTTTGAAATCTATGGGAAAGATCGAAAAGTGTGGAAAATGATTGCCACATGAATAGAATGAAAGACAAATGGAAAACCGAAAACACGCTTGTGAAATTTTGCTTCAAAGACACGAAAAAAGATCAGTTTTGAATCGAATTGTCAATCGCGATGAAAAATTAATTTATTTTAAGAATCTTAAATGGAAAAAAGCATGGATTAATCTGGGGCAACCCTCAAAATCGCCTGCAACAACAGATCATTTTGGTAAGAAGGCAATTATCTGTATTTAGTGGGATCAGAAGGGTGCGGTATATCTTGAGCTTCTAAGCTTTGGGGAAACTTTTAATACTAATCGCTACAGACAACAAATGATCAATTTGATTCATGCATTGATTGAAAAACGACCAACGACGGCAAACGGTTCAGGGTACAAAGTACTTAGCTGGGCCTTCCATAGTCACATGCTGCCTACGCACTACTGCGACCTTAGCCTCTATGGCTGAACAAGTTCGCACACTGCGTCGCCACTTCCCCACTGCGGTCAACAAGGGACCTCTACGGTCGATAAGAGCTCAATCAAGCAGCATGAGTCCCATTCTGATCAGTCCCTTCACCACCGATTCCCTTTGAGTGAATATTGTACTTGAAGTCAAACCACCACCCATTGCAGACGAAGCGCTCGAGTTGCCGAGAGAGGTCAATGCGCCGCTTCGTTCTGGATACTGTAGCAGGTTAAGCAYMTTCTYATCTGGAATCGACCCTGACATAKCAATCATAGGTCTARCGTGCGACTAGTTCCCAYATGACACTAACCACCTTTTTACATGTCCTGCAGKGTTAGKSTTACACATCTGACATCCCTCTCCTATGCTCCGACYCCGTRGAAACAGTATGTTTCCTGGWTCTACCATTGGATGACCTCAACAACTCAGCTCTTGCTTTTGCTTCGGCAACAATAATGTTTRACTATAACAATAAATCCAAAACCGCAACTTTCTCTTTTCAATAAGTACTTTATTTATCAACTACAATTACAATTTATCGCTTGTTAAAAAAAGAAAACAGTGTCACTGTATATCCGACTGCCTACGATTATACAATTCGCACATATTTTTAACGTACAAATTTTGTTACATAAGTCAATTTGTATAACCAGTACTTAAATATTAAACTTATTTCTTATATATTATAAATATTTATAATTTAATCATTATTTATTATGCAATTCATTACTTATGAGAATATTATGCTGCTTTTTTTTTTATTAATATCTTTACTTTCATTATACGCAAAGCTACTGAAAACCATAACTTAGGTTATGTAGAAGCGCTAAAATGAATGCAAATAAACACACGTGCATATTTGTGGCACAGATGCCGCTTGAAACCTGTCTAAGAATGTAAGACAGAACTGTTAGTACAGGCTTTCAAAAAACAATAATATGTATGTAAACATGTGTATGTGCATTTACGATTGCRAAATTGTTTGAACAGACATTTGACGTTAGAGCAATTTAGTTTCTTATAAGCAAACATATTTTATGTKTTTTTTTTTAGTTTTTTTCTTRCTAAATATGCATAATTGGCTAAAATACCGGTGATATACCGGTAAAACATTGGTGATATAACGGTTGAATAGCGGTTAATTAAATAATAATTCTCATGACTCTCRAGTGAATGCTTTTTGATATGCGTAAAGCTATGTTTACAACTACAGTTGGTCTTATAAACACAATTCAATTAGTTTATGCGTTTAATATCAGTATTATGGTGTAATCATTTTTTTAATTATGTTTTTTTTCGTCATATTTTCACTTTTTCCAAATAAGGTCACATTGTATCACTAAAAATCTCTTAAAACTAGTAGCTTTCCCCCTTTCAATTTATGCTAACATTTTTTTATTTAAATATATATTTTTTGCTTAGTTACAAGTCGTTATTCTCAGCATTTAAGAACGTGTCACCTGCGCCTTAAGCGCATAGATTAAAAAAAAAAAAAAAAAACAAATGTTAGAACTATTGTTGTATTGGCCTAAAATGTATGCGTTCATTTTGTGTTGTGAGGTTATGTTCTTTTTCACTTCATTTATAGTATATGCATCTAATAACTGTCAATGGGTTCTATTTAAAAGACACATACACAATTATGTAATATCTAAACGTTAGGCATATTTAAAATCTCGCTGGTAATTCGAAAATATACGTTTGTAYACAGAAATCATAGTATGAACACACTGTATGTTGCTGTCATGTAATATGTCATGTAGGTATATACACACTTAAAAATGTATTAGGGTGGGTAAAGAAACCGTATATATTTCTTTAGTCTGGTTCGCTGAAAAATTTTGTTCTTAGACACCTCTAGGAGCGAATAATTTTATARCCTTTTTGTCAGAAAAATTGSTTTTTGGACACCTATAGAAAAGTCTCCGCAAATGTAAGCTCTTAATTATGACGGGAATGTCATCCGCCTAAAGGTTTTCTATAACTTTTCCTCATTCTCAATTAGAAAAATTTACATATATCTCGCTTCCAACTACTTGAAAAAATATCAATTTCAGAGTTTTTAAAATTGATTGTTATACAAAAATTTTACGTAACCCTAACCGTTTAAAAGATATTAATGGTTAATGTTTGATTATTTTAAGGCAAATTAAATCAATGAAAAAAATATATATATATTAAACGGTAAACTTATGGCTTGTAGGAAACTTATTGCTCTACAAAATTGTCTAAATCTTTTTGAAGTGCGTTCAATTTCCTACCAAGTCTATAAAACGCGCTATTTTTTCACGTAACGGGAAGCGATATTTGAATTCTTCTTGGATGAAATTTTTTAGATATGTCTCGAAATCCGTTTTTCGAACTTTTTAAGAGCTGTCTCTTATACACATCTAGATGTGTATAAGAGACAGATATTTTGCATGTTCCTTATCACAAACATCGGCAACCATACTTCAACATATTAATTTAAAAAAAATATATATATATATACATACATATATATGTACACTACACATAATAAAATAAAAAATATTAAAAATCCCCAACTTATGTGTGCTACCAGGGTTGCAAATAATATATAWAAAAAAAAAAAAAATTATTAAATAAATATTTGTATACCAGTTTAAACAAAATTTAATTCCAAATATGGCATTAAAAAATTTATTCCCAAAACCGAATTTAAAATAAATTCTTAGATTTAGATTTTCAATTTTTAATCACAACATTTTGGATGTGGAATTACTTTATGATTTATTTTTATTATTTAATAAAATTTTCAATTTTTAAATACGATGTTGAGATAATTTTCTTTTTGTAAATTTCAATAAATTGAGAATATGTTTCAATAAAAAACAATTAAAAAATAAAATCAATTAATTAATAACTGAAAATTTAATTTGTCATACAAAATGTTTGAATTAAAAAATTGCACCCTGGCGCTTACAAAAACATTTGTCTTTCAGCAGCTTAAAATACAGCAAATATTAAATTAGTTTTTAAAATTGTTGTATGTGCGTAAATATGTTACATAATATTCGATTGAATTCGTAAAACAAAATAATTTGCAGGCTTTTTCCTTAAACAGTGTGTAATAAAATGCTATAAATATAATTTATGTATAAATGTATGTATATTAGAGTAAATAAAAATACCTAAGTTAAATACAAAACAATTGCACTAATAGTTGTTAAAAACAAAACACGATACATATTTATAAATATCGCATAATTTGCTCTTAGGCGTCTCACTGCTGCACTTTGTCTTTCCAGCCATACAACAGATTTACATTGACTAATTTTCATCGATTAACTTTTTAACAAAAATTGTGGCTGAAAACCAGACATAATAAAAAAAATCAAAAAGTAAAAATTCGACAACTCCGGCTTGAATATGAATTTTACACTGCTTAGGCACAAATCGATCCAAACTGAGTAATTGAAGATTTTTATATACCTGCGTATACGCGTACATACATATGTACAAAATGCTGCTTAGGTCGGCATTCATTTAGTAGTAATATCAAATGCATTCGCCGGGATGTTGCGCACAGAATTTAGGAAATATGGGCTCCGCCTCCAGGCCCAACTCGACCAGCCGATTGCGAAACACGGACATGCGTTTGAAGACATCCTGTGGCACGGCATCGAACTCCCGATCATCCTCCAAGTCGCTCCATAACCTAAAATATTTGCACATTTTCAAAATCAAATCACATGCTCACACTCAAGTAGTGATAGTGGGGACTTTACCTTTCACCCAGCGCAGCAGCACGCGGCCATAATCGATTATCCAATTGATACTCGTCGGTTTGCTCAGTCCACATACAAACTTCGCCGCCTAATACCTGAAATCAAAAAATATAAATTATGATAGATTACGTAAATACAAGTATAGGCATAAAACGTTTAGGAAAGATAGATATAACTCCAAAACTCTAACAATGTGCATAAAATAAGAAATTTCGTTTTTGGGCAAAATCATGAATTAATTACACTATTGATATTAAATGACCATATGCTAAGGTATTTACTTAGTTCCACTGAGTTATTTAAGTTTGTATCAGTATATTGGGTGTATTGGATCGTGGGTGTGGCGTGAGTGTTATAAGCCGATCTTATCTACTTTCACAAATTATATTAAACTATTTTATTTGAATGTCTCTCCCACTAAAACTAACTCCTAAAGAGTACAAGATGGTTAGATTACAAGACCATAGGAGTACTAGACATATGTTCGCCGTTGTTATTGTAACCACTTCCTGCTTGGGTGGTAAAGCTCGGATTGGTTGTCACTGAAACCATCTAACGGTAGGCCCAGGAGAACGTGCTGTTTCGAAAGGGACCCCACCCCTTGTGGAGAATGAGAAGGGAAAGAAAGCCTTAGAAACTGTCTATGCGGACAGGGATCACATCACCCTCATCCCGCTCAGCAAGCCTCTATTATTCAGAGCTGCTGGACCTTTGTGACCATATGCGATATAGGAGAGGGCATCATAGACCATAGGTTGCAGTGCAAAACCAATTAATTAATTATTTTTTATGAAGAAGAGTGTTAGACATGTTGGATTCGTTGGGTAGGAGGTTAGAGTCATGAGGGGACTCATTGCAGGCTTCAAATATAACTTTGCACAACTTCTAGTTAGGTGGAGCCTCAGATAGTGCTGTAAAAGTTTACAACAAACCAAGCAAGATAGCGCATTCAAGTCATTTGATGTGAGGACCACGCCCATATATGTAAAACTATGTTCTAGATTTAAAATTTATTTATGATTGCCGCAGAAAATTTAATTAATTTCAAATTTGTTTTATATAAGGACAGACCTTCTCGGAAAAAAAAATCAAGCTAGGATCACAGTAATCATCTCGCAAGGGTATGAAGCAACATTACATAGTTAGTCTTAGAAATCAAAAATGTATGTATGTATATAAAGAATATTTGTAAAAGCAAAATTACCTGCTTTCGCTGCGCTTTATTGAGACGCATGCGCTCCCAGGGTCTGTGTTTGTAGACATTTTGCCAGGTGCGATACGGCGAGCAGGCACCTTCGCCTGTGAACATAAATAATATATATGTATGTATGTAAATAAACACAATTATTTCATCACTGCACATTAATACTCACCAGTTGAACGCCAATTGCCAAAACCACAATCCAAATACCAGGCATCCACGTGCGAGAATATCACATTAAAACCATTATCAATGAGATCGTAATTCTCCTGCCACGTACTGCCACCCCATACTTGCACAGCAACACGGCTGCTTGGAAGACATTTGGTGTTGGTCAGACCACTGGACCACACACTCATCACGCGCGGCTCCACATTATTATTGGCGATTTTCAAGCTGAAAATGACAATGCAAATATGAAAATTTGTAATTATGTAATTATGTAAGCAATAAGTGCACTACTCACCGCGCCATTACATTGAGCATAAAATCGCACCACAATCCACGCAAATCGGTGTCATTGAAGTACTGACCCCAGCATTCCAGATTCACCTCATCGCCGCCGAGATGAAAATAATCCGTTGGACCGGTGGCATTTAATAATTCCTCATATAGGTGTTGCAGCACCAAATACGTATTATTATTTTTAGGATTCAATTGCCCGCATGGCGGTTCGCCGCAGTAGAAACTCCACGGCTGTTGATTTATGCACAAACTCAATTCACCAAGGCCACGTTTTGGTCCCCACTCCCAGCCGTTGCCAGCGTGCGCCGGCGCATCGATCTCCGGCAAGACCTGTATGCCGTGTACGCGCGCAAATGCCGCCACCTCTCGCACATCATCGAATGTGTAGGTTTCATGTTCCGAATAGGCGCCATGTATTGCCATTTCGGGGAAATACTTCGACACATAGGGGAAACTCTGCGAATCGGTTATATGCCAATGGAAGCGATTGAGTTTCGCATGTGACATACCGACGATGGTGCGTTTAATGGCCTCCAACGAGAAGTAGTGACGTGATGTGTCCAACATAAGACCGCGATAACGAAATCTGGGTGTATCTATAATTATTGCCTTCGACAGGATGTGCAACAGATTATCTTCATCGTCGTACCAAATCAATTGCTGCAGTGTGGAGAGGGCGTGGCGTGCGCCGAAGAATGAATTCGCGGTGATATGAATGTTAACGGTGCGACGCTCATCTGTATAAGATATTAAAACGAATAGTTAAGGCTTATTTGTTTAAAATGTATTTTTGTACACTGAACAAGATATATAAGGTTTGTCATGAAGTTTGTAAAATCCCGGAGAAAACGTCAGTGACCCAATAAAATTTATATCTACATTTTCAGCGTGGCTTATTAGTCTATCAGTTTCAACTAACCTAATCTTAACCTATCAGCGTCACGTCAGCTGAGTGGATTGGCCATGACGGTATATTGTTGTTGTTTTAACGGGTTGGTAAGGGTTATCTAAGTTGTCGTTTCAACGGGAACGGCAAAGAGGTGGCCAGTGTCATGCGGAGACTCATTCCGCGCAGAACATATGTTTGATATGTTGGGGTCTATTCTGGACAAGTAGGAGTGCTACAATATCCAGAACGAAGCTGCGCAATGACACTCGCGTTTCTCTCGGCAACTCGGACTGACGGTCTGCCATTTGCATGAAGTTTTGCACAAGTTCTTTTCTTTTCAAGGAACTACTCATATGTCGAACCGCTGATATCGAACTACTATAGCATTTAGCTCTCATACAAATTGGCCGATCAAAATCGGGTTAGGCTTGAAATTCCCGAGTTTAACATACCCAAACATGCATTGTCCTTGGCTGGGTTTAGTTGTTCCAACGCTGGGGTGGTCTAAGTTCTTTAATCAACCTTCGACAACAATTAAAAAGTTGGCCCTGGTATATCAAATAACGTGATTTATCAAGAGAAGGGAAATTCGAGTTACATGTTTGCATACACAAAACTAAGGAAGGTAAATTTGGGGATTATTTCTAAGGCAGCACTTCAAACTCCGAGCAAATTATTTAGATCGAAACGGGACTCGAGACTCAAGTCTAGCAGTAGCAAGTCGAAATCAGAAAACCATAACTTATCCCCTTTGGCTCCCGTTATGTTTATATTTACTACAAATCTACAAATCAGCTGATTACGGGTATACCATGTATCAAGAGAACTACAAGGCGTCCCGCTTTTATTTACTTACGCGCAACGGATAGCTTGTAACTCTCATCGGTGTCCAAACTCAAATTTATTTCACCCGATTTATGCACTTCAACCTGCACGAGCAACGTGTCCACATCACAGTGGCGACGTGTGTTGAAGACATTACTCAAAATAGCCGCCGGTGCCATATTGTCACCCAAAGTGTTGCCCAATGCTCTGCCAATATCGATATGACGACGCTTGTGCCGATGATGAAAGGCACCTGGCGACTCCGAGTCCCCATCACGCGCAGCAGCAGCGCCTGGATGTGCGTGCGTATTGTGATGGCCGGCGTCAACGGTGTCACGTCGTGCGCGACTATTATGATGGGGTTGCTGCTGCTTTTGTTGTTGCTGATTTTGTTGGTGATAGGCAGCATTTTGATCGGAAAGTGGCGACCGGCCACCCGAATTAACATCCGTAGCCGCTGCCCGATCAGCGCCACCAGCACCACCTGCAACACCACCACCGACACTCTCGGTGCTCTCCTCCGCACTCGGTAGCCGTTGTATGCGCCGCAGATCGCTTAGAAAGTAGGCGAATGCTTGCTTGAACTGCGTTTCTACTGCGCTGTGCGGTGTGTCCATGCGCAATTGTACATCTTCCATGGTGAATTTCAACGATACCGAACTGATGGCAGTCTTTATTGTTGGATGTGGCCAAATGTTGACTTCACCACAAGTCATGGCGCATGTCATGAACGGTATACGACGATCAGAGGCTGCGCCGCCGCCATCATTCGTGGGATACGTATGCCGCACACAACGCTCATTTTCGCATTTATAGGTCCAGAGTTTTTCGTCAGGTCTGCGGGGGATGTAATTTAGTGGAACTTTACAATATTTTGTTGTGTAATAATTTCAAATTCAACTTACATTGGCGGTCGTTTATTAACGTCAGCTCGGCGTTTCATTGATTTTTCAACTAAAAACGATTGTGGCTTCATGCCGTCCTGATTCCAGTACAAAACCATCAGTATGAATATCGTTGCCATCAGCAGCAACAACAATACGCGCCGCAATGACACAGTTAAGGCCATTTTAAGGATGTGACGAAACCTGAAAAGAGTAAAAGAGGATGATATTTAGTAGAAAAAAAAAAAAATTTTATAACAAATATTATACATTTTACATATGTTTGGTAATCAGTAATAAAATATTTTTAAAAAACTTACGAACATGGTATGAGATTAAAATTGTTAGATCTTGTTGGAGAGAATCTAAGATTAACAGTCTAAGATCTTACCAACAACGTTGAAATAACGGAAAGATCAGTAAATACCATTTTTAAAGATCAAGAAAAGAAAAGTGAAAGCACGATTGGTTATAAAACTAGAAAATTTTTCCACCAAACAGCGTCACTTTAACGTCTGTGAAACAATGCCTTCCGACTATCATAATGTCATCAAACGCATTATGACTGTTGATGAATCTTGGATATATGCTTACGACCCGGAAAGAGGCGACTAATCGACCGAATTTTGTGACAAAGGTGTGTCGAAGCCGAAAAAACCACCTCAAAGCAGGTCAAAAATCAAAGTTATGTTGACAATTTCTTTCGATTATCGAGGTGTGGTGCACTCCGACCGGCCAAACTATCAACAAGAAATACTATACTATTTGAGTGCTGGTGTCGTTTGCTATTCGTAAAAAAAGTCAGAATGATGGGCCAGCAACTCTTTGAAAAAGTTGACACAAGTCTATTGGGACAAGGGGATTACTTTGAGGCAGACGATATAGATTTTGAAGAATAAATTAAGAATTTTAAAACTATGAACAAAGTCTTACTATTTTTGCCCATAGTAGTATGTATTTTGTGTTCATGTTATAAAAGTATGAGTAACATTAGAGCGCACATTTATATGTACAGTCAGAAAAATAATCATGCAATATATAACTCTTATCGTATCCAAATATGTGTGAATTCAGCTACGTACTTGTCGTTCTATGCATAATTGTATATTATTATCTTCAACCCGACCATTTAGAGCAGTGCAAAATTCAATGGAAATCAAAACTAAAAAACATAGTACTGAAAACAGAAGCTGATATCGCCTTAATTAAGTGGGTGTACGAGGTGTGTTCAAAAAGTAACGCGAATTTTGAATTTTCACGTATACGGTACTCTCACTTATGCCGACAAGCTCGCTCATTTTGAATGTTCGTTTAATTGTTGACAGCTGCTTTGCTTGCACGTGTTTTGGATCGTCTCGATTTTTACCTATTCAAAAAAGTGGATCAAGGAACCAGTATCAAATTTTGTGTGAAAAACGGAATTAAATGCGCGGATGCATTCCGAATGTTGACTGTGGCATACGGAGAAGCTACCTTGGACCGAAGCAACGTTTAGCGGTGGTAGAAAATGTTCTCAGAAGGCCGAGAAGATGTGACAAAAATTGGCTTTTGCACCACGATAACGCCCCTGCTCACACATCGTTGCTTGTGCGCGACTTTTTGGCCAAAAACAACACACTAATGATGCCGCAGCCACCGTATTTCCCAGATCTGGCCCCCTGTGACTTTTTCTTGTTCCCTAAACAGAAGAGGCCCATGAAAGGACGACGTTACGCTTCTCTTGACGAGATAAAGACGGCATCGAGGAGCTGAAGAAGATAAAAAAAATGATTTTTTGAAGTGCTTCGAAGATTGGAAAAACCGTTGGCACAAGTGTGTAATATCTCATGGGGATTACTTTGAAGGGGACAAAATAGATATTCATGAATAAATAAATAATTTTTGAAAAAACACAAAATTCGTGATACTTTTTGAACACACCTCGTATTTTCACATTTTGTTATTATTTATAGACTTAAAATACATATGTATGTATATATTATATGTATATTTGAAAGCTACTGTTGGAACAGAGTGGTAGATTGGCATTTATTTATTGATTTAGTGCACTTTTTTAATTTTAAAAAATATATATTACTCAACAGATGGCGGTGTTAGCGATAATTGAAAAAGGGTCGCCCATTTTGGAAAACCTCATTCATATTGATCTTATTTGAGGTGTATAAAAAGAAATAGACAGCTCTATAACTTGAACTAACTTAACTTGATTTGGAAGAATAAATAAAGAATTTTCAAAATAAATTCAATGTCACCGAACATTTTATACTTTCGCATGATAAAGTGATAATCGATTTCACCCATATTTGGTACATGTCATCACGGTGTTAAGAAAATATTATATACCGAATTTCATTGAAATCGGTTGAGTACTTCCTGAGATATGGTTTTTGGTCCATAAGTGGGCGACGCCACGCCCATTTTCAATTTAAAAAAAAAAAACTGGATGCAGCTCCTTCTAACCTTTCTTCCGTAAAATTTAGTGTTTCTGACGTTTTATGCTGTCATCATGATACAATCACAATTTTTAAGTATTCTCATATTCGACAAATGTATTTTGCATATTTGTAGACTTTCCTAGAGGTATGACTGTCAAAATCAGCTGTGGAGATAAATCGTTTGACATTTATGTTCATAATCCTTGACAATTTCCTAATCAGATATTTACACCGGAAAAACATTTAAAAATCATGGATACTTATATCTGAACCTCGCATTCTGTGCGGAAATGTACTAAAGAGACTCTAAACGTGCTCTTGTAACCGAAAAAAATTACTGCCTCATGTAAAGAGAAAACAAATTGGACCATATTTTAATAAAAAAAAAATGAGGATGCATTCAATGCCTTAAAAGTTGAGCGCCGTTTTGGTCCTCCACATCAACATCAATGGTCCAAGTTTTACAGGATTCCCGAAACACGGTGCAATGAGTCTTAAAAATCTTTAGGTTTCTCAAAACACTTAAAGAACGTATTCGTGAAAGAAACACGTGTCAAACCATCATTTCCACTAGAGGTCTGTGCTGATAAAAATTAAAATAATTATTTTCGTATCATCGTTTGAAAAGTAAAGAAAAAGTTGTCTCAATTGTTTATTAAAACGAAATGAAACTTCCAGAAAAAATAAGCGACACTTGTTTTAATCCATCACCCACAAACGTTTCAATCAACGATGTATTTTCCTATAACAAAACATATACAAACTCAAGGAAGCACTTCCCATGGGTAAGCGACAGATGTTGTAAACAATCGGCCTTCAAGGTTCTCCTTGCGGACGTACATTTGTTACAGAAATAATTAAAATGGCGGCATGTGAGCAAGAACAAGGCGACACTAATTACAAGCGGTCTGAACTACATCAAATATGAATATAGTTGGGAATTAAGTACATAAAATACATGTATTAACGTAAGTAAATTTCTTGGGAAAATAAATTATACTTAAACTGGCGGCTATACTACTTAAAGTTATTATTAGATATATGTTTGATCAATTGGCTCAATTCAAAATATATGCACAGCACAACTATGACCTTGGTCTTGATTTCATGCAATGAACTAAATTACGTGTCTCTGATCTGGCGGTTAAGCCCTTGCTATGTTGTGCTGAAAATCATTTAACAATTGTGTCAATATGTATATTTATAAAAAAAAATATATGATTATTTATCTTGCCCATATGTTTTTAATATGTATTTATATTGGAGGATTGATTCATGTGTAGAAGTTCACGCAAGTGAGGAAAGTTCTCTGAGCGTTTTTTACTTGTGAGTGGCCAGAAGCGATTCTTTTACATATGACTCAAGCAGCTCACGACTTCCGGTCCTTGACCAAGTATTCTCTGGGTAGCCTAAGAACATCCGTTTGWAGACGAGCTAAAGTGAGAAGGTGAAACATTCAATGCATAGGGTTGTGCGCTGGGTTTGGGACCCGCCACGTAAAAAAAACCAACCCAATGAAAACGCAACAACAGCCTCGGATGAGAGACCCCACTTTTGATAACGACCATGGCAAACGAAATAAGGACTACGAATTGAGGGCATGCACCTGGAATGTCCGGTCCCTTAATTGGGAAGGTGCCGCTGCCCAGCTGGTTGATGTCCTCGTGAGAGTACAGTTTGACATAACCGCCCTCTAAGAGACAAGGACAGAGACGAGTAGGTCCTTGCGGCATTTACTACAGTGGCCATATAAAGGAGCGCAAGTTTGGTGTGGGATTCGTGGTGGGAGAGAGACTCCGTCGCCGAGTACTATCATTCACACCGGTGAATGAACGTCTAGCCACAATCCGCATCAAAGGGAGGTTCTTCAACATATCGCTGATTTGCGCCCACGCCCCGACGGAAGAGAAGGACGATGTGACCAATGACCAAAGATGAATTTTATGAGTACTTGGAAAGCACTTATGAGAGCTGCCCCCGCCACGATGTCAAAATCGTGCTTGGCGACTTTAACGTCAGGGTGGGCAAAGAAGGTATCTTTGGCACTACGGTCGGTAAATTCAGCCTCCACAAGGAAACATCCCCAAATGGGTTGAGGCTGATCGACTTCACCGGGGCCCGAAATATGGTTATCCGTAGTACTAGATTCCAACATAAGAAGATTCATCAAGCTACCTGGCTGTCTCCGGATCGAAAAACCATCAACCAGATCGATCATGTTGTGATAGACTCAAGACACGTCTCCAGTGTTTAGATGTGCGTGCACTGTGAGGTCCTAACATCGACTCGGACCACTATCTTGTTGCAGCGAAGATTCGCACGCGCCTCTATGCAGCAAAAACGCACGCCATCAAACGCAAGGAAGGTTCGACGTCGAGAAGCTGCAATAACAACAGACAGCCGAAHGATTTTCTACTCGGCTTGCACTCCTGCTCTCTGAGAGCACTCGTYAACAACTCGGTATAWGGGAACTGTGGGACGGCATTTCAAACTCCTTACGTACAGCTGCAACCGAAAYCATTGGTTTTCGGAAAGTWCAAAAGAACAGCTGGTACGACGAGGAGTGCCGTGTCGCAGCGGARAGAAAACAGGCTGYMTAYMTCGCAACGTTACGATCGACCACAACACGTGCGGGATGGGATAGATACCGAGAGTTAAGGAGGGAAACGAGACGCATTTGCAGACAGAAAAAGAAAGAGGCCGAAATGCGTGAGTACGAAGAGCTTGATAAGCTGGCCGACAGGGGTAATGCTCGAAAATTCTACGAAA